AGTTGTGTTCAAGACACTGAGGAGCTGCACAAATGTAAATCTGCGAGCCCAGATCGGAGCAATAAAAGCGAAAAGTCGGAGCATCAAGAACTCGAGGAAAAAAAAAGATGCCGTGTTGGGCAACGACTAATAACTGTTCTGTTAAGAGAAATCAAATGAAGCTACTGTGGAATGAACCCCAAAGGTAGTGGTTATTCCTGAGAAGGGAAATATAAAACTTGAACAATGCAATATTAGGAACTGCAGCACATCGAGCGATTTTATTTGAAAGCTGCAGAAAGGAGCCGAGTCCACCCCCTGAGAATCCCAGCTGCTCGCTGGAAGTAGATGTTGATATTAGCAGCAAAGCCTGTGAGAAGGAGCTCCGTGGCAGGGCCTGAGTCAAGCACTCAGCAGCAGCTGTGTTTTTAAACAAAGAGCTGACGATCACGCTGCACTGTGTGCACGACGCAACAGTGCGGCCGACGTCTCGCACAACAGAACGAGTGTTTCTCGAGCCGCCGTGTGACACAGCGTCATGGCGGCGGAACATCTGCAACGAGAACAGATGCTGAAGAAAAGAGATGATGAGGTTTAATAAAGCTGTCCAGCTTCATCCCACACAAACCACCACCTCCATACCTCCTTTTTCTAAACACACCTTTCTCTTAAGCTGTTTAATTTAAGAACATCTGAAGCCACTCGGATCATGTGGCTTTATCTTTCATCGTTCCTSTTTAGAAATCCAGCTGAAAGCACTCAACGGTTCCACTAAAGAGACACCTTCACTCTACAATCAATAAAGTGGTTGACCTCTGTCGACGTGAGTCAGCTTCGGCAGGTCACCTAATCCCACCAACATCATTATCAAACTATTAATTCCATTCAAGAATAACATTTTATTTGATGATATCTTGTTACAGGGAGCAGAGTGAAGTCATTCTTTAAATATTAGTTTGAGGTTTCTGCCAAAACTGAGGAGCCATCCAGGAATTTATTTTGATAGCGGCCACTAATGCACCCACATACCATCAGAGAGGCAGGCCATGATAAATGGTCTATATTAGGGGTGTAACAATATATGAATTTGTATTGATATATCAATAAGTCAATTATATAAAGGCAAAATTAATATATCAACTCGCATTGTCATCCTTTGCCCGGTGTGGATCCATATCAACGCTCCTCTGATGTATGACATCACATCAAATCGAGCGGCGATGTTGAGAATCATCATATCATCATCCAAACAAACCAAAAGACTATCATGTTGTAATAAAGCTGCTGATTTACACCCCCTGGTCTGCATGTTTGGTCTCTTCTCTATAGTTAGGTTGGCATGTTTAAGAAAAAGATAACAGTTGATTTGTTGAAGAAATATGAAATGGAATAATGTGTAAATGAATTGTCGCTCGCCAAGGTTTTGATCTTTTTGTTTTTTGTAAATTACTTTTGTTTTAATTTATTGTTGGGAAGAAGGGGCAGATATGAGATTGTTTTCTTCTTTCTGCTGCCTTTCATTTATTTTTTTTCTTCCGTTGTGTATAGAGATTTTTTTTTTTAATTTTTTAATGTTTTAATGAAATGGACATGGCATTCATGGTGTCCAAAATGAATTTGGATTCTTCTGACCACAGAACAGTTTTCCACGCTGCCTCAATTCATTTTAAATAAGCTCAGAAAAATGGCAGCATTTCAGGATATGGATTCTTCTTTGCCTGATAGAGCTTTAACCGCAGGTTTACTTGTGGTTCCTGGAGTTTCTAAAAGTAGAATGGGAGGCAGAGCTTTCAGTTATCAAGCTCCTCT